ATGCAGTCACTTCACCATGTCGGTGGCACTGCTTCCAGACATCAAGAATAAGATATTATGAATTGTGGTATCATTTGAAAAAAATGGCTACCGACTTCATGATAGCAATTTGAAATCGGCCAATATGTTGGACTTGAAACCTTCTCCTCTTATTCAGCTTTTCCCTTGGAGAATTAACTATAGGTATCGTTACCAATCACTTTTTTGTCCATTTTATCATGCTACGATGCACATGTTGCTGTTTTCTTGTATTTTTCAATATACCAAGAAGAATCACCAACGCGCTTCAGAAGCGCTACGAATGACCATCAAACAAATAAACTACCGTCATTACTTTGTTTTTCAACCTCATTGCTTTTCCGAAATAACCCGAGTTCTAAACTAATATCAAAACTACTCTTTAATGATCTGCGCCTCAATATATACCTCAAAAGATCACCTTCGAATTATTTCGAACTGTTCTAGTTCATTGAAGATTATCTCATGAGTTGTCATGTTGACAATTGACATCCTGATAAGAAGTCTGATCGCCACTTTCAGATGCACTACATTGTAGTCAGCAGCGTAACAATATTAGTCGTTATGAACGACAAATCAAGTAGTTTATGGAAATCATTGCCGAAATTATTTTAGAGAATTGTTTGGAGTATGTAAGTGCTAGGGGTCAGTTTTTGATGTATAATCTCAGGCACCAATCGTTGATTCTCAGGGGCGGAATGTTTGATAAAAAACTACTTCAACTTTATAGGAAAGTGTATATATAGATCATTGATGTACTTAAATATAAAGCAAAACAAATATCTGATAAGGCGTTGTACCTGCTTTAATTTTCAGTATTATTGTTTGTTGTACGAAGTGAAAAATAAAAAAGTAATTTTTGAGCAATTTAATTTCGTAGAAAGATGTAGTTGTTTCTAATACATTAACGAAGAAGTAGAAGGTTTTTCCCACAATATTCATTTCTTCAGAAAGCCCTTTTTTCAATAATGGATATACAGAAAAAATAATAATAATTGTTTGAAATTTTTTGTTTGTTCATCCATTTGTTATTTCCTTTCGAACAGAGCAATTCATGATAGAAAGTTGTTATTCCCAGCAATGGTTATTTTTCAAACTTATGCGATGAGTTTATTCACGATGGAATTATAGTGTGTCTTGTTAGATTGGTTATTTGAACACACAAAATTAATGTAAGTGAAAAGACCACATCAGGGCTCCAAAGGGGGTTGTGGAGGACGCATCTCGGCGCTCATGAAAAATGATAAATTCTAATTACCGCAACATCCTTGTTAGCAGAAATTTCGGCACGAAATACTTGAGGAAATTATACGGCAGTCTCTTGCAGCAGATACGGAGTACCCTTTTCTCCATACTCAACAAAATAATCTTCTGCAAGTACAAACAGAAGGAGTAGGACTCTTCGAGTGACACCGCTGACTAACAATAAGAGTACATGCCAATATTCAAAGCACTAAGAAGCATTCAACGGTCCTCAAGAAGTTTTTGGCGTAATTTGGCACTGCTCTTGTACAAGAATTCTAAGCATACATCTGTTTGAAATCTGTTTTTCCGTTAATCAGCTGTCGCATACGAACGACAACTCTCAGAAGTTGAGGAACTTGTGCGAGCTAAGGACTAACGAGGTCTTACCTTTCAACGTGTGATTCCTAACACATGGAAAAGATCATGGGAAACATCATGGGATTGGAGGGATAGAGTGGAGTTAATTCATAACAGAACGTCGGAGGTCCCAAGAACATGTATCCGTCGTTAAGTAACTTCTGTATTCGAGACTTGACGGCGGTCAAACTGAAGGTGGTTGGTGAGGAAGGACCTGAGAAAATCGCCATTGAATCAACGTACCTCCCATATGATAGTCAAAGAGCGCCATCAACCAGAGTTGTGAAAATGTTGGTGAGGGTCTCCCAAGCAGACAAATCACAGCTCATAATTGGCTGTGATGCCATCACCATCACCTGACCAGTGGGAGCACCAACCAAAATGAAAGAGGTGAGCATTTAGTACAGTTTGATATGACAAACAATATAGGTAATAAACTTACCTTGGTGAATACGAAACGTAAGAAATTGATAGATCAGTACGTACGTCATGTATAAAGGCATACAGGAAGTTTAGTCTTACAAGCCCACACGAATGTGTTGTCACTGAGGTATCCAATTTTTTATTGTAAAATCTTACATTTCATTCAACCATGTTTTGTAGTCTTTTCATCATCTTTTCTATGGATTTTCCATATCAAATATATCCTTTGTCGTTCCTTTCGCTAGTTTTCACCTTACCTGACTTTTTGCATTGCAAATATTTTTAAGTGTTGTAACATTCCAAATACCAGTATCGTTTATTAATGAAAGTGAATTAATGTTAGAATATCAAATAATTATTTTATGGGAAAGAAAGGTTTTGCCTTTCTACTACTCCATCTTGATACAAAAAATGTGGGATTCTTTCAAAGAAAGAAGAAAGCAATCAATTTAAAAAATTAACTCTATATAAAGATGTGTAGATAATGCAAAGAAGTAACTTTCAGACACAATCTGGAAGAAAAAGCCCTTTATAAACAGTTATTTTCATATAAACATTGAATTACATGAAAGACACAAAATTTTGTTATATGAACGCTAAATTATACGAAATACACTTTTCTCTGTTCCGTTTGTAGCTATTCCAAACATTCGTAATGGGATTCCTACACAATATAATTCTTGAGAGAAGTAAAGTTTCACTTTCATGGAACACTGTCATCCTCACTACTAGACGGGCAAAATAATATTTGCCGTCTTTTACCCATGCGTTATTCCATAGATGGTGTAATTTTAACCTATAAAAAGACAAATTTTCCCTGCCGATATTAATGAAACAAAATAAGTTTCGTTTTAAGATATTTATTCAAAAATAAATTGAAAAACAGTCATTTAGACTTACAGAAATACTTAATATAATAATCATACATATAAAAACTTACATGTATATACTGATTCACTCAGTCAAACCCGAGCTTTGGTGAAAAGATATATGAAAATGTCTATGTTTTTACCACTTTTATTATTATAAAAGTGGTAAAAAACAGAAATTTTCATTTCTCTTTCCTACCACGTAGTAACACGGCTATACATCCATCAATTTACCGAGCTTTGGTATTTATCAAAATAATTTTCTTCGAACTTTCTGTTCTGCAAAATCTTTAATAATTTCCTTCAAACTGACACTGTCACAAACCTTGTGTTCTATTGAAATCATAGCCAATCCAGTTAATTTATTTTGTGTCATGGTGGATCGCAGATAATTTTTAATTATTTTTTAATTTGGAGAAACTTCTTTCACCACTAGCAACTGTCACTGGTAAAGTTAAAAGATTTTTAAGAGCAACACTGATGTTTGTACCAAATCCTAAATCTGTTATGAATTTTAAAACTTCTTGCGGAGATAAACGACTATCTGAAATCGTACAAAGGACTGATTTTGCTAGCGTCCGGGGTACAATCTAAGATAATAGAATAATATTTTGATTCAATTATAGCTTCCACAATATGCCGTTTATTATTGTTCGATATTGTACTAATAAGCTCATTCTGAATAGTTTTACTTAGGTAGGATGCTTGCCTCTCTACTTTCTTTAAAACCCTGCGTACCTGTTCCTGCATAACAGGATCAAATTCGGCTAACAACTCTACTAGTTTCAAAAAGTTACCATTGTTATGTTGATATAGATTATCAGAAGTGCCCTGAAAAGCTAAGTTACTTCTTCCCAACATTTTGATGACTGAGACAATACGTAACAAGACTTCATTCCAAAATAGTTCATTTCTGAATTAATTATTCTCTGAGACTCGGCATCTATCGTTTGCGACGACTTGAGCCGACGTGAAAGTTCAAACCAAGGTCTTACAGCTTCTAAGTGACTTCGTGATGTCTTAAGAGTATCACCTAAATGTTTCCAATTATTGTAGCCATCTTTAGATCAGGGCCGTCGCCATGGGGGGATGGGGGAGTCTCCCCCCCTGCTTTTTCGACTTGGGAAAAAGTTGGGAAATTTTGGGCCGTGAAAATATTCACTTGCAGAAGTTTCGTTAACTTCCATTTCTTGCTCTGAGCTTTGCAAGTTCTGCATCTTCTTTTTAGTCTCTGTTTTATTTGATATTCGTGTTTATTACATATATGGTACGAACAGCATGAACAGCAACAGAATCACGCTATCTCAAAAAATTTATGATATGTTGCCTGCTCTTCGCACTTCTACTATCATACTTTTTTGGTGCTTGCAGTTCTTCCATTCTTGTCCAGCCAATCTTTCTATTGAATCAAGGCATTGCTCAAGAATATGATTATTTACTTGTGTAGATCGAATGTTATACGGCCGTATGTAGGCGAATTTCTATGTACCTACCGCCCACTTTCTGTTTATTCTTCTTGAGGTTGTCCTCCGAATTACTGGAATCCAAAAACTTTCATTTTTAATTTCCATTTTGCTACAGCGAGTATATTTAGGTACGTCACTTGATACACGGATCTCTTAATTACTTCTCGTATATTTTTGTTTTGTATTTTATTTACCTCTGACTACCTATAATTTTTAACAAAAATTGACAAATAAAAAATTCGAAATTATTATTTCTTCCAGTTCATTTAAAAATTTTGTTGAGTAATTCTATCTTACAAGAAAATAATGTTTTCAATCAGTTGTGAAAAAATAACATATCTGACTTTTCTTAAATCATTTTGAATTTGCAATTGAAAATTTGCACTTGATAGAAAGTGCAGTCGAATTAAATTTTCAATAATAAACCAAAATCTCTCAACTGCTTATTCGGTATTGGTTCACCCACATATTATGAAATATTAATCATATGTAATCTGCATCACTAACAAATAAACAGTTGAACACTTTAATAAAGGGTTAATTCAGACCATCAAGAAGGAAAAATAGTTCAATGGCATCTGACAACGTAGTCTCTTGCAATCCCAAACGTCAGTTCGCTTGTGTCATAAATGTTCTTATCGTGTTTTACTTTTCAATGAAAGTTGAGAAAAGAAAAAAACAAGAAATTAAGAAAAGCATCAATGCAATTCAAATAACCTAGTTGTATACCTATATATTCCGATATCTCAACATTGTGTAACCAGTGGTAAGGACGCTGTCTAACTACAATAGAGTTTTATCAACAAGGAGGTGGTATTTCCAGCGAGCACTCTTCCAGACGTTCGGCAGTGTTCCTCGACTTCGAAAAGATTGGATTCATTGACGTAGTGACGCAAGACAGCGTTGGAAGCCTCGCATATCCACGGGTGGGAGACATCAGCCACTGCTAGCCAACGTCGCGCAATTGAGAACTGGAAGGCGCATTGTGAGTTGTGTTCTTTTTCGGGTGTCTGGAAAAGCCGATTTCACCCTTATATTGACTCTCGGTAAGTCCAGTTTGATTTCCTTTCGAATGAAACATCATCTTGCAAAATCGATACTGCTGTAGATTACTGTTTGGTAAAAGAAAATCGTTGAAGGTCCTTCTTTATCCAGCAAGAAAGACAGGTTAGGGTAGTTGTCCAACTGGTCATGTTACGCACGTGGGTTTTGGTCGGGTTGTTTCCGAATCCCGATAAATGTATGCCAAATTATTTCACGGCTCGACAGATCAGTCTTTGTGGCAACAACTTCTTTAACGTAGCCTTGTGATAAGGTTGTTATCAGTGTTTCATGGTGAGGGGGGTAAGGTGAGCGGAAGGCTAGCGCATACTTTTGAATTGGAGATGTGTAGGTGAATGCATGGCAACGATGTGCGATATATATATTATACTCGTATGTCCTCGATCATTGGATGGCTTCGCTAGTTTGTTCATACAGCGGGTTAGGGGAACCTCGATTTAGTAAAAATATTCTTTCTGCATCTGTTAGTCTATTGGGCCATGTTGCTGGATCGGTATCTAAAAGTGCTGAAATATTTGTAGGTGCAATTGCAATGGCAGTAGCATCTGTAACAGCACTTGACCCAGAAGCACAAGGTTCACAAATTATATTCAGCGTATCTTCATCATGTAGTCTAGATGCATATGCTGTGTCAGTTTCTTGCTAGGGCTCGGGCGAGGACGGTTCACCTTTCGTCAAGAAGGATTCTAATGCACGTGCTTGCTTTTGTCGCTCTGCATCTTTTTCGAGCCTTCGTTTTTTGTATTGGTAGCCAGACAAGCGTGCTCTACCATCAGACATTCTGTTAAACAAAAAAATAGAAAGTTGAAAAACTAAAACCCGACTACGGAAAAAACCAGGCTTTGAAAAGTACGAAACAAGCAAATATTCTTTAGTGGATTTGGATATTTAGAAGATAACCGTGGTCACCTGCCATCTTGCCCTAGGTTATGTAGACCCTCATAGTCGCTTATATTGGAAGGCAAGGTGGTATGCGACCATGGTTTTCCTAGAATATTTGCTTGTTTCGTACTTTTCAAAGCCCGATTTTTTCCGTAGTCAGGAGTTGGTTTTTAAACATTTTATTTTATTTTAATTATTGGAGATGTGTAGGTGAATGCATGGCAACGATGTGCGATATATATATTATACTCGTATGTCCTCGATCATTGGATGGCTTCGCTAGTTTGTTCTTGAAATAATGCATTTGACTAGCCAGTGTTCGATCGAAATAATTCAATTGGACGTTGTTATGAAATGACGGGTTGACCCAAAGGTATCGTGCTACGTAATCGCATGACGCATTCATTATTCGGGTTTTCAGGATTTTGGGCTTTCTTCCAGCCTATGCAGACGAAACAAATTATTTTCTTACCTTTTATAAAAACAGTGCCGGCGAATGATAATGGCATTACCACTAAATAATATTTTATCTAACGAACGTTTGTTGATTGGAAAGGACAAAAATCCAACGATTTTATCATTTCTGAATCACCACTGTGAGTTATACGAATTTCAATTAAATTAAAAAAAAATCTTATGAAGAAATGACAATGACACTGACAATATAATATTTGAGATGAATTTTACTTTATAAATATGCACTGAATGATACACTTTTTACTGTTAAACTTACTTTATTACTCTGTCATTCAACCACTTTCTGTTTTTATAAAATATATGCGGGTGGTCAAAAATGAATAATAATTGAGATTTAACATTCTTTCTCATTTGCAATTGCGTTCAATAATGAATTGTAAAACAATCATGAGAAAAAACAATTAAAACTCTAGTCTCTTCACTTCATGACCAGATCTAATGACAGTTCGGTCAGGATCGACTTCTTCTTCTTTATTTTCCTCAAAAGTCTGCTAAACTTTTTTTCTTATCCTCATCCTCATTTCTACGTCACTTTTGAGTTTTCCCTTGTCCTCTCTCCTCTCGTTTCTTTTTGCTTTGTGCGCCTTGGCCTGTTTTACCGATTGATTGGAGCAGGGGTCGGCAAATAGTTTTAGGTGGGGTCCGGTAACTGCGGGAAAATTTTTACGAGGTCCAAAAAAACAACTGATAAAAATTAAGTGCAACCTATGTATTATTTTGGTTTCAAATCAAATTTTGAATTATAAAACATTTTTGGTCCAAAATTCTTCAGTGGATACCGTTTTATATATTTGCAAAGACACATCTTCTTGCATCTTTGGGTGCTCACAATATTTCAAAGGAATACAATATTGTATTCGTTTGAAAGCATACACGTTTTGTGTCATCACATATTATTTTCCATTTCCTTGTGATTCTGTGTTGAGCGCATTTGAATTTACAAAATATCTTTTAAAAAAGCCACGATCAGCATATTACGCTTGTTTGTGCTTTCTGGCTCCCTACACCTTCCGTATTTAATTTTTGCAAGAAGGAGGTTACTTCTTCTTTCATCAGCCAGTCAATAACTTGACCTTTACTTAGTCAACGAACATTTTGTCGTGTTGCAGTTAAGTCAGAATACGCTGTCAGAAAGAAACTCCCTGAAATGTCGATGCTGAAGAGCAGAATGAGATCTAATAAAATTAATCAACTTGACCAAGCTGTCTATCACTTCTTTCAGTGTAGCACTAAGTTTTCCACAAAGGCCTGCGTAGTGAATTATGCACTGATACGATATTAGACCTGAGTTTTTAGCCCTGATTTTCTTTACGACACATTTTTCATTGCCAATATTTGCTGGGGCCCCGTCAGTTGAAAGCGACGACACCATTTTATCTTAACTAATGTTAGATTTTGTAATAAATTCATCAATGACCTTGAATAAATCTTCACCTCGAGTGTAATCTTTCAATGGCAATATTGCTAGCAATTCTTCCCTAAAAATCTCACACTCAATATCAAGAAATCTTACGAAAATAAAAATTTGTTCATTATCAACAATGTCACATGATTCATCAAGTGCTATGGCGTAGCAAGGTGCCTTTTACAGGAGTTCAAGAAGAGTGTTTTCAATATCAGCAGCAAAAATTTCCGTTTTTCATGTATTACTTCTCGCTGATAATGGAATACTTTGAAATACAGCGACAACATATTTTTTTCTTCTGAAAGTACCGTGACTACTTCTAACATACATTTTTTCACCATCTCAGAATCTGAAAATGGTTTCTGCTGTTTATTAGGCGTACAGCTCACACGTAGCGCTGCTTCTATGGATTTTTCTTGCTCGCTGCAACGAACTATTAATTTTGTGTTTTTTTTTTGTGGGAACTGAGATTGAAGTTTTACTTCACGAGCCTTACTGCCAAGAGGAAAGTTTTTATGGAATTGCAGATGAGTTGTTTCGTAGTGTCCAATTACCACCCTTAACAATAGCGACAGTTTTATTGCATATATGGCACACTGGAACCGCTTGAGGACTATTAGGCAGCGTACAACAATAATGTTCAGTCCATTCTGCCAGAAACCTCCTATTTTCACTGACCACTTCCACGCTTTTTAGAATCCATATCAACATTAACAAATGAATGGTTGCTCCGCGGTTTGCACTACGATTGACAGTCTTGATTCCCTCGCTCGCACCCTCGATTTTGATAATCGCTTGTTTCAACAAAACAAAATAGTGGCAAGCGCGCACATACACACAGGGTAGATAGGAAACTAGTAAAACCATATCAGCTGTAGGTACTTGTAAAACAGGTTGACTAGGCAATTTGAAATAAAATAAGTACATACTTTGTTGAATTCTATTTTGCTTAAAAATATTACTTCAGTTAATAAAGGTATAAAAAATATTACTTCAATTAATGAAGGTATCGTATACCTTATCTACGCATTAATTTTTATACTTGGTATATAACACATTACAATATTTGGCGGTCTGATGTTCGACTTTTCGCGGTCTACAAACGGACCGCGGTCTGCCTGTTGCCGACTGTTGGATTGGATTAGAGATTTCCTACGTTGCAAATATTCATACTAGCTTGTCTGCGTCTTTGTTTTCCCTGTATGAAGTTTACTTAAACTTTATTTTTAGCCAGATTTTTTTCCAGTGGATTATTTCAGATTGAAACCTCTTGATGTTATGTTGATGGGTCCAAATATGCTTCGCTGTTCCCGATTTGATTGTTTCTCTTCGCTGAGTGCTTTTCTTATGGTCACCAAAACGGATTTTCAGTGGCCTTTTGATTTCATTGAGGTGGAACTTGTCGAACTCAAATGGTATTCACAATAACTAATACAATTTATTGCAATATTTTTACTATGAGAGTGTTATTAAAACCGCGACATATGTTTCGCTATATAATAGCTTATTCAAGTTTCCTCAACATTCACGTTTGAGGAAAGCTATGGTATATCGAAATACGTGTTGTGAAACTCTTACAGTGAAAATTTGGCAATAAATTTTATGAGTTATTGATAATATGGTGGATTGCTTTTTGTGAGGCTACTACGAATAGACCTGAAACAAGTTTCAATGCCTTTTAGACCTAACTCTTCTTATCCTCTCCGACAGTTTCTTGACATAAAGAAAAGATAGCACTGGTTGTGATGGTTCTTTTGTCTCATATCCAAGCTTATTGGGGCATCTATTCTACGTCAAAACTATTTTCCGAGTTTGTCGGCTGTGGTATATGCACAAACTTACCTCTATAAATGCGACAACAAAGACGATGAGACAATTTGCGAAGTGTTCCAGTGTCCTCACAGCAGATTCTGTAGTGGTTTGGTTTTTCAGTTTTCTTCCATTGGTGGTGGATGTAGCTTCGTTTCTATTGGTTGATTTGAATGACCTGACATGTGCGCAATCCAGTGCAGGTAATCAGATTTAAAAAAATTTAATTTCCTATTTTTTTCTATCTAGTCTTGCCTTGGATAGTAGTTCTAAGTTCTATCGAGCACTTGGATTTTTTCGAACGCGATAACATTGGTAGGTACTTTCTCTGATAGCATTGTAGCTCTACTGTAAACCGATACACAGCTACCCCCTCTGGAGTCCCTTGTTGTTCTTATGTTATCATGATGA